TGTAGTGTGTCTGCTTTGATTTGTTCTGAGTGCTTGCCTAGTCTAAAACATCAGTCTCTCTCTCATTTACAGTGTGTAACTACTGATCTCTCTGTTGAGATGTTTCCCTCTAACCCTACCTAGCCAGTTGATGTCTCCCCAGGCTTTCAGTTTTTGTCAGACTCTGGGATATTCCACATATATGCCTACTTTAGCAGTCAGGCTTGAATCTGGCAAGTTTATTACCAAGCTTTCATAGCCCTCTTTCTTCCAGATTTCATCCTTAACCAGAATCTGTAACCTCCAGCCAGTAAACTCTTGCATTTTCACTGCCTAAGTTGGGGATCATGGAAACACCCCCAAGTAGAAAGACCGTAAACCCACAATTCTTATCCTATGCAGTTTTTTATGAAGGAACTTATCACTACCGTTGTCTTCCAGTGCTGTGAAGTGGTTGTTTTTAATAATTTGCCAAGTTTTATACACTCATCTTTCTTAACACTATTATCAAAAATACAGTCATGATACATTTTTTTAGCTGTGTCCCGTGGAGCCAGCATGTAGCTGGACATTCATTTTTATTGTGATGGTAATGGTGTTTTTTTTTAATTTAGAACGGGCACTGTGGCTCAGGCCTGTAATCCCAGCACTTTGAGAGGCTGAGGCAGGCGGATCACCTGAGGTCAAGAGTTTGAGACCAGCCTGGCCAACATGATGAAACCCAGTCTCTACTAAAAATACAAAAATTATCCAGGCATGGTACAGGTACCTGTAATCCCTGCTACTCAGCAGGCTGAGGCAGGAGAATTGCTTGAACCCAGGAGGCAGAGGTTGCAGTGAGCTGAGATTGTGCCATTGCACTCCAGCCTGGGTGAAAAGACCTAAACTCCTTCTCAAAAAATAAAAATGAAATAAAAAAATAAAATTTAGATATAATTCACATACCATAAAATTCACCCTTTTAAGGTATACAATTTATTGGTTTTCAGGATATTCATAGTGTTGCACAATCACCACTAATTCCAAAGCATCTTCACCACCCCAATAAAGAAACCCTAGACCCATTAACAGTCATTCCCAATTCCTTCCTTCTCCCAGCCTCTGAAAACCACTAATACACTTTCCGTCTATATAATTTTGCCTATTCTAGACATTTCATATACATGGAATCATACAGTATGTAGCCTTTTGTGACTAACATCTTTCACTCAGCATAATGTTTTGGAGGTTCATTCATGTTGTAGCATGTATCAGTACTTTATTCTTTTCATACTGAATCATACTCTGTTTTATAGATAATACCACATTTTGTTTATTCATTCATCAGTTGATGGACATTTAGATTTCTTTTGGTTTTTGACTGTTATGAACAACGCAATTGTGAACATTCATTTACAATGTATGTTTTTGTGTGGATATATGTCTTTAGTTCTCATGGGTATATACATAGGAGTGGAACCAGTGAGTTAATAGGATATTTCTGTTTAATTAGGAGGTAATGACAACTTTAAAACCTGATTGCAGTCATTTAATAGGAAATTTAATGTACTCATATTTATTGTGATTATGATTACTACTTTGTTTTGTGTTTTCTGTTTACTAGGCATTTCTTTTTCTTGGGTTTATTTCTCCCTTCCTTTTTATTGGAGTAGTTGAGCTTCTGTATGTGCCTATACTCTATCTTCTGTGTGTCTCTATTTAGTGAGGAAACTTGACTATCCTACTTTCACTTTTTAAATCCTTAACAAATTTAAACTTAAATGTTTATATTAATGTCTACAGTTGATCCAAGTCTCCATTCAAGCTGGGAAAGAACATTATCATGCTTTCAATCATTCTTTTCTTAGCATCTCCCTAAAGAAGTCATCTGGAATTTTAATACTTATTTATCTTGTTTCTTTTACCTTTTTACATTATGCTTTAATGATTTTACATCCTTGCCTATCAATTTTCTTGATTTCTTTGGCTCAGCACTATCTTTTATATAACACATCTGTCTTTTTCCTAGATTCATTATTATTTTGTGGGAGTACTTCCTCAAGGAATCTTTCAGACGGGCTTTATGGCTGATAAGTTTTCTGGGTACTTGCGTATACAAAAATGTATTTGACCCTTATTCTTGAATTATAGTTAGAATACTCCATTGTTTACTAGCCTCCATTGCTCTCATGAGAATTTTGATATCACTCTGATTCTCAATCTTTTGATTCTTCTATCTAGAAACTCTTAGAACTCTGTAGCCTTCAAGTTCTAATGTTTTTCTGCCTAGTATTTAGGTAATTGTCTTTTTTATTCTATCCTGCTTAGTACTTGGCGGATAACTTTGCATTTTCGAAGATTTCTGACTTTATCTCTGGGACATTTTTATCTGTAATTTTCTCCTGAATACTTTTATTCATCAAATGTTGAAACTTCTAAATCCATCCACCATGGTACTTAACTCTTCTATTTTTGTTTCTTTTTGCTGTATTTTTGGAGAGTCCTCAGTAAAATCTTCCATTTTTACTAACTCATATTGCAGCTCACTCAACACTGTTAACTGTGAAATTAAACCTAATGATATCATGACAGTATATGTGCCTTGGAGCAATGCCCTTTCTCTACATATGCTGTGTTATAATTTCCCCATAAATAAATAAATATAGCAATTTTAGGGTATGTGCATTCTTTGTGTATTCAACAAATCTAAAGCTAGAAACTCCTTGCAAAATTTAAAAATTCTCTGATTGTCATGCCCCCTGTAGATTAGTATCCAAAGACATAGGTCTCTTGAAACCCCATCTCTACTAAAAATACAAAACATTAGCTGGGCATGGTGGCGCGTGCCTGTAATCCCAGCTACTCAGGAGGTTGAGGCAGGAGAATTGCCTGAACCCAGGAGGCGGAGGTTGCGGTGAGCCGAGATCGTGCCCTTGCACTCCAGCCTGGGTAACAAGAGCGAAACTCCGTCTCAAAAAAACAAACAAACAAACAAACAAAAAAAAGACATAGGTCTCTGCCCCCAATTTCTTAAAGTCCTGATTTTCTCAGACGTTATCCTCCTTTGTTGCGTGTATGTCTCTCCTTCAGAGTGCTGGTTTTCCTTAACTGTTTGGTGATTTTTTTTTTTTTTGGTGTTTTACTCATCTGTGTGTTTTGCAATCCGTTTACCTACTTGAGTGTTGAATAGCTTACTGCCGATCATTATGAGGGAGGGACAGGACAAGCTGCTGAGGGGCAGGACTGCTGTTGCTTGTCTTCTGGTGTGGGTACTCTCTCCTTCCCTTCTGAGAGTCAGCAGCTACCTGTGACTTTGCATTGCTCGGCAGCCCATTATGCATCCTTGCTGCTTTAGCCTGTGAATATATGCCTCTGTTGACTGCTGCTTAGCACAAACCGGGGAATGGAGAAGGCCTGATTGACCCAGCTGTTCCAGATGCAACTCACCGATTAATCATCCTGATGTGTGTCCCCCCAGCCTTCAGCTGTCTGTGTTCACTGGCTCTGGCTTGAAAGTCTTCCTTAACCACTCCTATTTTTGCAGATGTCTTATCATACATCTGGCATAGACTTCCTTCAGTTACTACCTCCCTGCCCCACCATTCAACCTTCCACCCTCATAAATATAATCTCATCTGACTCTAGGAGATTGCTGATAGGCTTTCCTTATTATCTCATGCATTCATGATTTATATTTGTTAACTGTAAATGTCATTTCCTCAGAAAGTTTTTTTCTAACCACCAAGTTTAAAGTAACGTCTCACTTTCTATCACATCACCCCAGTTTATTTTCATTGTAACATTCATCTCTATTTAATATTTATGGTCTTTTGTCTTTCCAGACCTAAATGCATGCTCCTTTAGGAGCCTTATATGGTCTATTTACAGCTATATCATAAGTGGTTAGAACAGTGCCTGGTGTATAATAGACATTTCAATATATGATAGTTGAATTAAGTGACTTTATCTTTTAAAAAAATTATGTATCACATTTGCTTGAATTACTAAATTTTAGATTTTATACCAGAAACCAGGCTTTTCAAATATTCTATCTTAACATCTCTGTTCAAGACAAAACAAAACACACCTTTATTAACCAAATAGTTTTCTTTAAAAAAAAGCTGTGCAATTAATTGGTTAAATAATATAAAATGCAAAGTTTCTTAACCTCCAGCACTTCAGACTATATGTCATTTAAGCAAAGGTTGGGGGTAAAATAAAAGCAAAGCTTTGATTTTTCTAAGAACAACATTATAAAATGACCAGAAATCAGAAGTACGTTTGCTTATAGTTTCTATGACTATATGAGATATAATTTATTCTCAGGTAAATCGTAAATTGAAATGCATCATATTCTTTTGCCATATTATTATGGAGCTCCTTTAGCAAACTCAAATTTCCTTAATGTGAAATTTCCAAAGTCTTAGGTTAAGGATTCACTCTACCAGATAAGATTTTTACTTTTGTTCTCTGCATCTCTTAAATTGTGTAGCTTCAGGTGGCTGATCAACCAATATGGGATAATAATGAACAGTTTTTCAGTTTGGAGGGCTAATCCCTTAATTAAATTTAGGTCAGAAAATTATAAAAATTCACATAGGCGGTCATAGTTACTGCTTGCATAGAAACTCCATGAAAGAAATGTTCATGTCTGGCAAGTTTTGAGTAGGCTTCTTTTGCTGAGTTTGTTATTTTTTCAGTCCCCATATAATTAATATTACAAAATTTTGTAACATTCTTACTTTCTACACAGAGATCAAATTTAGTCCCACATTTTTCCTTGAAAATGTTTCAATATTATATGGCAAAGTAAAGCAGTAGTCACCTTACAGAAGACAATCAAAATTCATCTGTTCCAGGAAAAAAATATATATATATATATATATATATATATATATATATATACCATTTGTAAGTCTTCTGTGGGTTATTTATACTCCTGCCGTCAAAAAGATGAGCTTAAACCCTACAGAATTAACCTCTCATCTTTATAATTCTGATGGAAATTACTTTAATTTTTTTCTACTTTTTTAATTATTTAGGCAAAGATGCAATCTATACAATTCCAGTAAAAAACATTCTTGCTGTGGAAAAACTGGAAGAGAGCTCTTTCAACAAGAAAAATGTAAGCTATATAAATATTTAAAGCTTTCTGAACTGCATATATTACTTAAATATTTATATTTCAGGGTATTTGGTAATACCTGTAATTCTGTCACCTATTAGGTATTTGTATTCAAATTTTCAAGAGGTTGTTTATTGGATTAATAGTTCATAAATAGCTCAAACTCTGTCTTAAAATTGTCCTTTATTGTTGATGCCTCATATACCTTGCCTAGTTTGTTAAGTTACTTTTCTCAAGACTTCCTTGTTATACTGCTCTACGTGATACTCAAGTGTCTAAGTAATACAGTCCCAAGCCCTCTGCACAGCTTTGTCTTCTGTTCCCACTCAGTACATTCCATACACTCAGGCTAACCAGGATGATTTCTTTGTTCCTAAATATTTTTCTACTGCCTTTTCTTTATACCTTTTCTTCTACTGACAATTCCCTCCCTTTATTCATATCTATATGATAGTCCATTCCTTTGGATATGTGTGGCTTCTAAAACAAATTCTTTTGTACTGCTTAGTACCATGTGACTCAGATTATGCTTGGGACTAACTTGCTTGAAACATAATGATTTCCAAGACGTCTTAGCAGCAGCTATCTAGCCAAGCAAACCAGATTGCTATTAGGTACTTTCTTCTGTTTTGTACTGTGTGTTGGTTTTTGAACTCTTGTCACTAACTTTTTATCTTAATTGCCTATGAAGATGTTCCAAGTAATACATACGGAGAAACCACTCTATGTCCAGGCGAATAATTGTGTAGAAGCTAATGAATGGATAGACGTACTCTGCAGGGTGAGCCGATGCAATCAAAACAGGCTCAGTTTTTATCATCCCTCTGCATATATAAACGGAAACTGGCTCTGCTGTCAGGAGACCAGTGAAAACACTCTCGGCTGCAAGCCATGTACTGCGTAAGTTTCTTTCTGATTATAAAAGCAATGTTTCAAAATTTGATATTCCATACAATGTTAATATTTGTCCATGAAAAGGAATGAAGTATTGATCCATGCAAGACAAGGATGGGACCTTGAAAAATTATGCCAAGTGAAAGAATTCAAACATAAAGGCCACATATTATCTGATAACATTTATGTAAAGTGTTCAGAATAGGTAAATTCATAGAGACACAAAGTAGATTAGTGGTTACAAGGGACAAGAGGGAGGGAGGAATGGGGAGTGCTAATGGATGCAGAGATTCTTTTAGGAGTGAAGAAGATGTTCTAAAATTAATAGTGGTTGCACAAGTTAAAAAAAAAAAAATTTTAAGGCAGTGTTTAAATATAACATGAGCTTGATCCAAGATATCAAGGAAGAAGGACCCTTAGTGCTTTCTTTCTTACTTATGGAACAACCACGGTAGTCCTATAGACCTAAGTAATAATGTATTGCTTTTGTGATGAAGCATAGGTTGTCGAAATAATTTTACTTTAAAATTTCCTTCGTTCTGATTAGAGTCACATAATAACCAAACCTCTCCTTGGCCCCACTTTATTTAACCGTCAAATGAAACTAAATTTCCAGACTTCCTTCTGCAAAAGTCTGTGCTTCTGTTTTTAGTCTCAAACCATCAGAAGTCCTTGGCATGTTAACAAAGTAAAATTCGTCCAATATCTTTATTTTTTATTTTTACCATAGTGGTGTCCCTGCAGACATCCAAATAGATATTGATGAAGACAGAGAAACAGAAAGAATTTATTCCCTTTTTACCCTCAGTTTACTTAAGCTGCAGAAGATGGAAGGTAAATACACAATCTATTTTTATATAACTATAATCTTTCTTTACCAATTCCTAAACATTGCTTTTAGCATTATAGAAAAGTTGAAAATACTCATAGATTTACCAAAATATTATTTATTTGAAAGTTGACAAACCACAGAGGGGCATTTTTCATTGACATTCATGAAGTAAAAATACTGTTTTTGTATGAATATGATGATCCTACTAAATAAAATGTACATATTTTAGTTATTTCTGCTATTCCAAGGGAAATCCCCTCAGCATAAGACACTTGAAAAATTCCTATTTGTACTACAGATTGCATTTATAGACTATGGTTGTCTGATCAGAGATTTATTTTCCTGCTCCTTGTAGAGGCTTGTGGAACTATAGCAGTCTATCAAGGACCACAGAAGGAGCCTGATGATTATTCTAACTTTGTAATCGAGGATTCTGTAACAACCTTTAAGACAATTCAGCAAATAAAAAGTGTAATTGAGAAGCTGGATGAACCTCATGAAAAATATAGGAAGAAAAGATCCAGTAGTGCAAAATATGGGAGCAAGTGAGTAATTTTTAGGCTATTGTAAACATATTTTTAAGCAGAGTTTGAGATTGCCTCTCCTGCCCTGTCCTCACGCCTCTTGCTCACCCACATCTGTCAAGACCCAGCTCAGGGCCTTTCTCTGATGCAAGTTTCCTTGGCCACTCAACAACTTTGTGTCCAGTGTAGCTGTCATTATTTCATTGTGTTGGTGCTACACTTTATCAACTTTTTTTTTTTTTGAGACGGAGTCTCACTCTGTCGCCCAGGCTGGAGTGCAGTGTCATGATCTCAGCTCACTGCAACCTCCACCTCCCGGGTTCAAGCAATTCTCCTGCCTCAGCCTCCCGAGTAGCTGGGACTACAGGTGCATGCACGCCGCCAAGCCTAGCTAATATTTTGTATTTTAGTAGAGATGGGGTTTTCCTGTGTTGCCGAGGATGGTCGCAAACTCCTGAACTCAGGCAGTCTGCCTACCTCTGCCTCCCAGAGTGCTGGGATTACTGGCATCAGCCACTGTGTCTGGCCTTAATTTTGGCTCGTGTGTGTGTGTGTGTGTGTGTGTGTGTGTTAGTTTTTGTAGAGACAGGGTCTCACCCTGTTGCACAGGCTGGGCTGGAGTGCGGTGCTGTGATGATAACTCAGTGTAACCTCCAACTCCTGGGCTCAAGTGATCCTCCTACCTCAGTGTCTGTAGTAGCTAGGACTACAAGTATGCACCACCATGCCCAGCTATTTGTTTTATTTTTTGTAGAGACAGGGTCTCGCTGTGTTGCCCAGGCTGGTTTCAAATTCCTGACCTCTAGCAATCCTCCTGCCTCAGCCTCCCAAAGCGTTGGGGTTACAGACATGAGCCACCACTTTCAGCCTGTCACCACATTTACTGTTACGTTCAATTGTAATTCATTTGTTGAATACTTAGGTAGCTCTTTGTTTTGTTTTTGTTTTTACTGATTCTCCTTCTACAGTACCTAAGTACTCAAAAAAAAAAAAAAAAATGAGCTATGAAAGTGCTAGAAGTATTTTATAGTTGACTTTTTCCTACCACCTCAGGTGTAGATGGATACTACAATGGATAACAACTGCAACAACTCCCATTTGTTGGGTGCTTACTCTACCGAGGGGCACTGTGCTTAGTACTTTACAGCTTATTTAGATTGCTTTTAGCAGCAAGTTTCAAAGTCCCAGTTGAAGTGGCTTAAACAATAAAACATTTTACTCTTGCAAATTAAGTAGTTAACTTCTACAGTTGGTTGATTCAGCAACTCAGCACTGTCATCAAGAAACAGCTGCCACTCAGCCAACCACAACAAGGTGATTTCTGTCTTCCTTAGGCCTGTTCCCTCATGGTCACAGATGAGCTGCAGTAGTTCAGAGCCCCACATTTTTGTATGATAGTATCCTGAGGCAGAAAAGGCTGTTTTCTCCCTACTTGGAGAAAGGAACCTTATCTAGAGTTACCCTCAGACTTCCCTGAAATGCAAGGCTGCCCAATGTTAGAGCAGAATCAGGATCTGTTTGCAAAGAAGTGGCCAGGGAGTGGGTGGTTCTTAAGCCAGCAAATAACAATGTTTGCCACAGTGAACACTCATTGATCCTCAGATCAGCCCAACTTGGTTTTATCCTCATTTTACAGCTAGAGAAATGGAGGCTTAGGGAAGTTAAATGTCTTGCCCAAGGTCACACAGCTGACCTAGTGAGGGGACTTTGAATCCTGGCCCCACCACCTTAAATATTCTTTGAAAAGTATGTGTATTAGTAATTATATTTTTTATTGATGTATAATAGAAGTCAATTTGACAGGTATAAATATTTATTTTCTTCTTAGATAGGTGCCTCAATTAGAAAGGTTTTTATAAGCATCCTAATCCTGTCTTTTCTATGTTGATGTAATTGACTCTCTTCCAACAGTGATAATCCGGTTTCCTTGGAGCCCTGGGAAGTTTCCATGTGAGATCCCAGACAACCTTAAATAATACTGCTGGCAGGTTTTGGGGTGTAGGGGAGCACTCCGCTCGCCCCCTGGTAGGCTCCAGGCTCTTGGTCTCTCGCTGTCTCAAGAACAGGAGAGGGGACCATGGCGGGTATGCTTGTAAAGTAAATACCAGACCCAAAAAGTTTTTGTAGAAAAGTGGTTTATTTAGGTAGAGAAAGAGAAAAAGGAGAAGAAGAGAGAAAGCTTCCACCAAGAGTGTGTGGAAGGGGACCCAAGTATGGAATCCAAAGGGGTGTGGAAGAAAAGGGACTTATAACCTGGGAGAAATTCCCACCTTCTCCAAGCCCCATGGCCAATGAAAAGAGTTTCTTTAAACCTCCACTGGAGTGATTGACTTTTGACCCTTTCCCACACCTGCCAAAATTAGAAGAGAAATTGTCAAATCTCCTGGATATAGAGGCATGGGAGGGGGGCATGGCGCTGGGAAGTTTCTGCCCCTAAAACTACGTCCCCTTGTGGACCTGGAAAGAGAACACATTCTACTCATACCCATATACCATACCACTTCCCGCTTTATTTTTCTCTGTTAAAAAATATCAACCTCAGGCCGGGCGCGGTGGCTCAAGCCTGTAATCCCAGCACTTTGGGAGGCCGAGGCGGGTGGATCACGAGGTCAAGAGATCGAGACCATACTGATCAACATGGTGAAACCCCGTCTGTACTAAAACTACAAAAAATTAGCTGGGCATGGTGGCGCGTGCCTGTAATCCCAGCTACTCAGGAGGCTGAGGCAGGAGAATTGCTTGAACCCAGGAGGTGGAGGTTGCGGTGAGCCGAGATCGCGCCATTGCACTCCAGCCTGGGTAACAAGAGCAGCGAAACTCCGTCTCAAAAAAAAAAAAAAAAAAATATCAACCTCTACTGTACTAAGTATCTTACTGATTTTATTTACCCTATACCAGAGTGTAAGCTCCATGATGGCAAGGATTTTCTTGATCTGTTTTGTTTACTGCTTTATCCTTAACTTCTACACTAGTGTCTAAGATTTAATAGATGGTCAGTAAGTACTCGTTGAATTAATGAAACAAGATTTGGCATGAGAGATTATCAAGGGAAAATACTAAATACTTAATGGATTTGTATTTATATAATAAATTATATATTTGTCACCCTTTAAATTTTTATATTTCTTAAATTTTGAAAAGTGACTTTTTTCTTTTCTAGGGAAAATCCAATTGTTGGGAAAGCATCTTAGAGTTTAACAGATTGGTTCAGAAGAACTGGAAAATATTGTTTTTCTTGGAGCTTTTCAAGTCATCATATATTTCGTTCATAGTATTTAAGAATGAAAATTCGCTTCAATGTCATCTGCCTCCACATCATATTTAATATTTAATAATTGAAATTAATTGTTTGGGAATCCTGGTAGTGATGTATAACTAGAGAATTTAAAGCCCAAGATTCCCTTCATACCTGTGTGACCCAATCCATGTTTCTGAAACTTATTTTTAATCAAAAGAATCTTCCTAGAAAAGCTTTTTAACAAAGGGAGAACTCCTCCGTAGCAAGAAACCGTCTCTTCTTGTAACACTCTGTTCTGTGGACTTGTTTTCACTACCATCAGTGCCTGCTCTATACTGCCAACATTGTGTTTTACTAGAAAATTTCAGTTCATGACAGTTCAGAGCTTTTCATTTAGTTCATGTTTTTTTTTTTTTTTTTTTTTTGTTCTTTAAAAAAGAAAAAAAAGAAATGTTTTTCCTTTGGTCCATCAGTCATTACAGGTTCCAATCAAGGCAGTGATAGAAACTTTAGAAAACTGGCAGAGCATCCTTGAAAGCTGGTAGATCCTTTTGCCTGTTTAAAGATGTAAACAAAACTCAAGACGGGAGGAATCAGGGAATATGTGCTATTGTGTGCATCTTGTTTACATTTGGGATCAATGATGGCAAATGAAGTAATGAGACCACTAAAATTGTTTTTATTGTTTTAAATACCAGGTACTCATTTTCTTGATTTGAAAGTTTAACCTGACTTCTAAGGACATCTCTTCTGAAAAGGAAAGTAAACAGGGAACGAAAGTGGTGGGAAAATCACTTGACTTCACCTGCTATTTCATCTTGTAATAAGGGCCACCATAAGGATGCCCTCCTCATAGTGTTAGGTTCTGATCTTTCTCGAGAACAGTCACTCGGCGCACTTTAATAATCTGGACTGCTCCAGATTATACTTTAGATACTCTGTGGTATCTAATCTTTATGATCAGTTGAATGATCAGTGTTTAAGTCTAGAAATAATGCTTTCCTGAAAACTGTTTATATTTCATTGCTGTTTCCTTATTGCCTGCTAGCCAAATAGAATTTGGCCAAGCAACTGTTTGAAGACTTTTTCCCCAGAAATGTCCTTTTGTCCTAAAAACCCTAACTGTAAATAAACAGTCGAAGCAAGTTGCCACCTTGAAGTTGAGGGATACACTTTGCTTCATCAGTATTAAAAACCATGGTACTCTTTATTTTTGTCTTTTTTTATTCAAAATATTTTCTAAATGTGGTACTTTGAACCTTGGAGTATTTACATGTTTCTGTTCAAAACTGTGACTTATTATTGTAAGTCTACTAGTAGTGCTTTTTTTAGTTTCCCTGAGCATAAGCTATATTTCAAGATACACTTTGCCAATTATCTTATTGGTGGGTAATCATTTTTAAATTATATTGTTATTAGGTAATTATTTTTAAAGACTACTGGCATACAATCAAAGTTGTTCCATAAAATATTATAACTGAGCAATGTGTTTCTCTAAATGACTTGTAAAAATCAATGAGTTATGTTTAAGTCTGCATTATGGTAGATTATTACTCCTGGCTCCTTTTAAAGACAAGTTTGAAAGAGTCCTTTAAATTTTATAAGCTTGTAGATTCCATAAACTATACTGATTTATAAATGTGAAAGAATTTAGCCATTTAATAAATTTCTCATTCTCAAATTACATTTAGATTAAAATTCCTTTTAAGAGTCTCTGAAATGTCTACCTGTGAAGAACATGTAAACATCGCCAGGTACCAATCATTATTCTTTAGTGGCTTTTTAGTCCTCTGCTACTTTTTTTTACGGCAAAAGAAATATTCATCTAACATTTCTAATATCAAATTCCCAATTGTGATTGTTTTTAAAGATCATGGCATGATCAGAGAGACCAAGGCTGTGTGCATATGTAACTCTGGATTTGAAAGGGGGAGAGTTCAGTCATCTAGTTCTTTTCTTCACATGACATTTTTAAACAGCCAGTTTAACTGGAATTAACTTGGCACAGCCTAAAAAGAAGTAATGTGAAATTAAATTAATTTTCTTTGAAAGTCTTTCGAAATAAGAGGCCATGTCAGTAGGACCCTAAGATAACCAAGAAATTTGCTTCCAGGGCCCTTATTCCTCTGCCGTTACTTAGAAATTTTTTTAATTTTTCATACCTGATATGCTTTCTCTACCTTTTCCACATTTGAAAACTTACAAGGCAGCTCACTTCATCCTAAAAACCTAAAAACTCCAGGAAGGAAAGAAAAGGATGATATGGGGAAACTTGCCATAAATGCTGGTTCTGGTTCTTAGTATAGCCATTTCCATCAGTTGAAATTGTGGTGTGAACTGTTGCTTGTTTTGTTGTTTTATTTTTGTTTAGCTTTGTTTTTAATATTCATTTAATAAGATGGTGGGCAATAGCAAAGGCTTTTACTCCCAGGAATATAATTTATCAAACTGAACTATTTTATTTGCCAAAGAAACTTGTTTTTAATATCACGGGTAATGGTTAAGTGTCAAAACTATCCTTTTTTTATTAAACAAAAAAAGGTGACAAATGATATGGCTTTTATTTCTGTTTCTGAAGCCTGATTTCATTCATGCCAGGTTTTGAAAAACAGATCTTTTTATTAGTGAAAGCACCTTTAATTTGCTCTAACGGTACATCCTGTAAAGACAGAATTCTGCATAGCCTTTTAGGTGTCCTTACAGTATGTGAAAAATACAAGACTCATTCTAGAGTTAAATTACCAATCTTGGTTGATATTATCTGCTTCCATTTTTATTAATTTGGAAATTAATATGTTGCTAGTAAATATCGGTTTTTACAGTGTCCAATTTGAAAATGTAAGTTATCAAAGCTTAATGTAGTGAATTTGTGTAACCATGTTGTATTGTTGAGAATGTATTTTTATTTAAATTTTATTTTCTTATCAAGAGTATTATAAAAATTAACTTTTGTAACTGTCGCTTGGAAATAACTGAAATAAATTACAAGAAGCCTGTCTGTTCTTTGTGAGACTGTATTTTCTTACTGATTTAGTATTTTCTTCTTGTTTAAAATTATTATACCTTGCCTATGAGTAAGGGAGCAGTGGAAATGAGAAGGCTCCCGTACAATGATGCAATCTGAAAAGTGTTCAGTATTCTTTTCTTGCACTTAAACTAGGCTGATTTTTGATGGGCTGTGTTCTTCTATATTCATTCAACAGACTTGTTTTTAGGACCCACGGTATTCAAAGCACCTTGCAGGCTCCTGTTATTCCCTGGAGCCATGTACATCTGTGGTGGAGGGATATATTCCACTTGTGTCTAGATAAAGTTTTAACCTGAGTTTTCCAGACTATGTTTGACTTTTTTCAAGAAGGGTAGAAAGAATTCTTTCAGAGCCTCTCGTTCCTCAGGCCCTGCACTGACCCCTGAAGATTAACCTACCCTATAGATTGACCTTCAGTGTGTCATCCTTCATTCAAGGTATTAGAATTTGACTGTGTTGTGCCATTTTGGTGAGATACCTGGAGAATATAAAGTGACAGCAACAGAGACCAGGTTAGTGGGCATAATTTGTGCCCTCAACAAGAGAAGCCAGGATCCTCCCTGATTCATGCCTGGACCCTTTTATAGTAGCATCCCTAAAAAATCCTTCTATAAAACACAGCCTGAGCTCCAGAGGAATTTAAGGTTAATAAAGAGGAAAGGATAGGGTTTGAATCTCTATGTTTACTGAAACATTAGAATTCCTCTCATACTAGCCCCTAGGCATTTAAGGGAGAGGGGACCATATTTCCTTTTCAAATTGTATGATTCCAAAATGAGAGACACCCAGGGCCAAGCAGAGGCCCTTTATATTACACAACAGTAAGATACAAAACATACTTTGGCACTCCTGATACACATTTTTCTACTCCAGTGGCAAGTACCGAACTCCTCTGAAAACATTTCAGAGAATAACCCGTCTTGGGTACGGACCATATTCGGAGAACTTTGGTCTTAATTCCTCATACATATCTTCACCTGAAGTTAGCTCTTTTGTGGCTAAAAAGTTCATTCCTTGGCTTATCATTTTGCCGTTTGACTTCATAGTTTGGGGACACCATTTGCCATCATATTTTGAGCTTATGCCTTTATTTTATATTGACAGCAGAGAAGGTATGACTTGTTTAATTAAAGTACTGTTAAGATAATCAGTTTTCTGCCTTATATTCCAAATCCTTTTTCATACTATCAAGCAAAACCTTTGTGCTTTTTATTGATCTGCTTTTTGAGATGGAGTTCAGTCTTAGATACATAAGTTTTACTCATCAATAAAGGATTCTGTTGTCTGGAGCAGATAACATTGTTTTCCAAACATTTTTCTCAACTCCATCCAGAACCAAAAAGACCACACTGCCTGCAGATTAAAGGAGCAACCATTATTTTAATGGCTCCCAATGCACAATGGGCTAAATGATCCCTAAAGAGACACCTCAGAATCCGCATCAGAATGTAGGGTTTTTTTTGTTTTGTTTTTGGTTTTTGAGACAGTCTCACTCTGTCATCCAGACTGGAGTGCAGTGGCACGATCTCAGCACAGTGCAACCTCTTCCTCCCAGGTTCAAGCAATTCTCCCACCTCAGCCCCCCAAATAGCTGGGATTACAGGCGCCCACCACCACAGCTGGCTAATTTTTGTATTTTTAGTAGAGACGGGTTTCACCATGTTGGCCAGGCTGATCTTGAACTCCTGACCTCAGATGATCCGCTCACCTTGGCCTCCCAAAGTGCTGAGATACAGGCATGAGCCACTGCACCCAGCCAGAGTGTAGTTTGAAAAGGCACTGTCAATATTATTTTATGTTTGGAAATGCAAAATGTCACCTATTTTTATAATACTACCAAAAATAAAGGTCGACAAAGTCGTCACTGAGACAAAGTCATAGATGAGGCCATAATTCTCACCTGAGACCTTTGGAACTTGAGATTTTGGTGTTAATTTGCTACACATTTGTTTTTAAAGCTTGGGAAATGGGAATATAGGCTAAAATAAATTCCAAATCTTGACCTAAAGTCTTAGTACTAAACTGCCATCAAAATTATTTGTCAGGAGTAAGAATACAGCAAAAATCACTGGTCTCTTAGAGCTTATACTCTTGGAGATTGCAAGAAAAGTAAAATATGTCAGATGGCGGCATTATGGATCAACGTAATGTGCAGGAAGGAGACAGGGAGTGCCAGATAGGATGGGGGGGTCAAGGAAGGAGCTACTTTTCACAAAGACCTGAAGAAGGTGAGGAAGGGAGTGATGTGGATATGTAGGGGGAGATCCTCGCAGGAAGAAGAAAGCACACGGTGTGCTCAAGAACAGCAGGGGGATTGGTGTGGCTGAAGCAAGATGAGTGAGAGGTAATAGGAGTTAGGAGACCTGGGTGATGGACGGGTCAAGTGGCTCAGTGACATGATTCACTTACCTTTTTTGGTTGCTCTGCTGTGTTGAGAAGAGTCTCAAGGAGACTATAGGAGGAAGAGGGGACGGGGTAGGCCAGTACACCCATCAGGTGAGGGGTGATAGTGCCATGGGTGGTTGGGGTGGTCAGGTGCTGGTTATGTTTGATGGTAGAGCAAACAGGATTTATTGACAGGCAGAATGTGGGAGAAAGGAGTCTGGGAGGATCTAGTAGCCTAAGCAACTGGAAGAAAGGGGATCATCCAGTGAGATGGGAAAGACCGTAGGAGCAGGATGTTATCTGTTTTATCTATGTGCATGTTAATGATTCCTGGAAGCCAGGTCCACTTGAATCACTTAGTAACAGCACGTATTTTATCCAGTTGTAGACATTTATCATAACTTCCTCACCAGATTGTAAATGACTCCAAGGATAGGGAAGAACTTTGATTATACCCTACAGCCCCTGCTCTTAGTGGCAAAAAGGCTTAATAAACATTCTGTGAAGGAATAACTTACCGCGGCTAATGGTGGGACAGCAGGGGATGGGCTGACAATCATGACTCAACCCCACCCATCCCTTGCTGTCCCACCATTAGCCGCGTAAGTGGAGTCATAAGAAACTCCACTTAGATCTTGGTTAAATAACCTCTTTGGGTTTGTGTGTCTTTACATGTGCAAGATTTTGAAGATCATATTGTCAAGAAAAAGTATTGGGCCCCTGCTAAGCACGCCACACTCTGCTAACCCAGGGGCTCTAAGATGCTGCCCTCAAGATGCTCAGGGTCAAGCTACAGACTGGACCAGAGGGACCTGAGGATTTTTCACAAGTTCAGTGCCCAGACAACCCCTAAGGCCCGTTTCATCCCCCAATTATTTGTGTAGATCATTCGATTCCTCCAGTGGACTCTTCCTGAGAGGATGTTCCCAGCCTTCCCCAAAAACTCCATGACAGTGGACCAGTTTAGCAGCATCTTAGACCCTGTAGAATGTATTGTTAGGCTTCCCCCATCTTCCTGTGAAGGATTAATAAAAGAGTCTTGGTCATTTCTGAGATTTTTGGTTTAATCAATGAAAGAGCCTGGTGTGGGAAATGAGCCCAGCACCCATTCTGTCAAGGTGCATGGACAAAAAGCAGCCTTTACAGGGTGCTGAGGTGTAATCC